AGATTGAACAAGTGTGGGGAAAGAATGCAACCCTGACACACTCCCTTCTTGATTTTAAACCATGCAGTGTTCCCTTTTTCTGTTTGAATGACAGGCTCCTGGTCTATATACAGGTTCCTCATGAGTACAATTAAGTGTTCTGGAATTCCCATTCTTCTCAATTTTATCCACAATTGGTTACGATCCACACAATAAAATGCTTTTGCATAGCTAATAAAACACAAGTAAACATTTTTCTGGTATTCTTTACTTTGAGCTAAGATCTATCTGACATCAGCAATGATATCCCTTGTTCCACATCCTCTTCTGAATCCAGCCTGCACCTCTGGAAATTCTCTGTCAATATACTGGTGCAACCGTTTTTGAATTATCTTCAGCAAGATTTTACTTGCATGCAGTATTAATGGTATTGTTCGATAATTTCCATATTCTGTGGGTTCACCTTTCTTTGGAATGGGTACAGTCAGTTGGCCAGGTAGCTGTCTTCCAAATCTCTTGGCATAACCAATTGAGTGCCTCCAGTGGGGCATCCATGTGTTGAAACATCTCAATGGGTATTCTGTCAACTCTTGGAGCCTTGTTCCTCGCCGGTTTCCTTAGTGAGGCTTTGACCTCTTCCCTGAAGAGATTCTCCTATTTTTCCTTTTGGATGTTTTATTATTTCATCTTTCACATTTAAGTCTATGACTGATCTCACGTTAATTTTGGTGTATGGTGTGAGATAGGGATTGGAGTTCATTTTTTTGATATTGAAATTCAATTGTTCATGATAAAAATGCAACAAACTAGAAATAGAAAGGAACTTTCTTAATCTGATAAGTAGTTACCAGCTTATCTATAGATACCATCATTCTTAATGATGAAATATTGAATGCTTTCCCCCTAAGGTTAGGAACAAATCAAGGATGTTCACTATCACCACTTCTGTTAAACATTGTGCCAGAGGTTCTAGACAATGTGATAAATTCTGTCTTAACTACCTGCTGCTGCCATCATAAAATAGCACAAGTGGATGACTTTAAAGAACAGAACTTACTTCCTCACAGTCCTAGAGGGGAGAAGTTCAAATTCAGGGCATTGGCAGAGTTAGGGGCTCTCTTCTTCTATCACTTCAAAGGAAGATCCTTGTCTCTTTCAGCTTTTATAGTGTCTAGTGGTTCTTGGTAGTCCTTGGCTGCTTGTAGATGTATTTTCACATGACATCTGTTTTCCTTTGGTGTGTGTGTGTGTGTGTGTTTGTGTCTCCCTGTGTCTGTTTTCCTTTTTTATAAGACTTCATTCAGAGGGGTTGAGGTTTAGGACCCACTCTAGTTCTGTATGGTTCATTAACATAACAAAAGGAAAATGGTTTCTAACAGTGTCATATTTACAGGTATACAAGTCAAGCTATCTTTTTGGAGGACACAGTTTATTTCATAATATAAGGCAAGAAAAAAGTTTAGAAAGGAAGATGTAAAACTCATATGCAGATAACTTGATTGTGTTTGCAGAATCTGAGCTATTAAAAATGAATTTACCAAGATCACGAGATAGAAGTCAATATACAGAATCAATGGTATTTTAAGTACAAGTAACGATTAAAAAGCATCAGATACTTTCAAATAAAATTAATAAATGATCTTCAAGACTGTGTACTAAAAATTACAAAACATTGCTGAGAGAAATAAAGAAGAGCTAAATAAATGCAGGGATATATTATATCCAGTGATTGAAATACTCAGCATTGCTATAATACCTATAATATTGTTTTTCAGTTGCCTATTTATTAGGAGCTCTGGTAGTGTAGTAGTGCCTAAGGCACTTGACTGCTAACCAGAAGGCTGGCGGTTCAAACCCACTAGCCACTCCTCAAAGGAAGATGAGGAAATCTACTTCGTAGCGATACTGCCTCGGCAACCCAAGGAGGGGTCGCTGTGAGTCAGGTCTGACTTGATGGCACATAACAATAACAACAACAACATTTGTCTTATTTTATTTTATATCCCCAATACCTAGCATAGTACCTTGCAAGAAGAGCTCAGTCAGTTTTTTAAAACTTTTTATTTAAAAATATCTACAGATTTCACAGGAAGTTGCAAAAAAAAAAATACTGCATACCTTTTACCCAGTTTCCCCTAATGATAACATTTTCCATAGCTGCAGTATAGGCAGTTTCCAGGTTATTACCAAAATTTGTTCCTAACTGTATCTATAAGTTGAATTTGTAGATCAGTCAGAATAGGTACATAGGGGTTCTTATTTAGCTTTACTTTAGTGTAAGAGAAGGCTCAAAACATTTTCAAGTGAATGTGATTGTGAGGAAGAATTTGTTGGAGTAGGAGTTTGTTCAGTCATTTCAAAGTGAAGGCAAATTTACATAACATTAAAGCAGCACTTCCAAACATCTCTTTCCCACTCCAAGATGGTGATGCCTTGCTCAAAGATGGCGACAAACCATGCCATTTTGAATGTGTGTGGCTTTTCACAGTGCATCCAATAACCCAGTATCATGCATCTGGCTCCTAAAAGGGCTTACTGCGCCTCATCCAGGTCTCCCATTCCAGGGCTATGACCTATAATTTTTCACATTCTGGCTACTTTGATGAATCACCAAATTGTAAAAACTCAAATCTATTCCTATTTTGCTTCATCGGCCATGACAACCGATTTGAAGCCCTGCATTAAAGGGCCAGTAGAAGAGCAGGCTTACTGGTCTGATAGAGACTGTTGGAACCTGTGAGACTATGGCCCTAAAACACTCTGGAAGCTGGGAACTAATCTCACCCCCATGACTCAACTTTGAACCAAACTATAGACAGTAGCATAGTGGCTAAGACACTTGCCTGCTAACCAGACGGCTGGCGGTTCAAACCCACCAGCCACTCCTCAGAAGGAAGGTTGGGCAATCCTACTTCCGTAGTGATACTGCCTCGGAAACCCAAGGAGGGGTCGCTATGAGTCGGGGCCGACTCCACGGCACATAACAACAACAACATAAGATGAATAGTAACACCAGAATGGTACACACTCCTTAGAATAATCAACCATATGAGATCAAAAGGGCAGCGTTTGCCCAGGAATAAAGCTGAGAAGGCAGGAAGGGATAGAAAATAAGAACGAATGAAAACAGTAAACACAGGGAAGAAGTGGGAAGAGTGCTGTTACACTGTGGGGATTGCAATGAATGTCACAAAACAAAATGTGTATGAATTGTTGAATGGAAAACCAATTTGTTCTGTAAACTTTCACTCAGATCACAATAAAAATTTAAACAAAGGGCCAGTAGGAGTTGTCCATAAGTTGCACATTCATAGTTAGTAACTCAGAGACTGCCTGTACAGTATCAAAACCAAGAAATTCATTGCTACAATCCACAGAAATTATTCAGATTTAACTAGTTTTACATGCATTCATTTGTATGTGTGTGTATGTGCAATTTTATCACGTGTATATTCACCACCAAAATCAACATACAGAACTATTCCATCACCACAAAGATCCCTTTTGCCATCCCTTTATACTCACAGAACTATAACCATTTTTAGCGTAGAGATGTAGCAACCAAATTCATGGGAATAAAAACATAACTGGCCTCTTTTGATTCTGGGTGCATGCTACCTAGTTTCTCTAAATGAGTTTTAACATAATTGGGCAGGTTATAGTTACTTGAGTATTTTCCATTTTCTTTCCCATCCCCCTTCTAACCTCTGGCATCCACCAATCTGTTGTCCATCTCTATAATCTTGTCAGCATGAATAAATGAATGAGAAGGTATCAAAGAGGGAAATTGATTCACTAAGTGCAGACTTAGTAGCTGTATGTAGGGACTGTCTCATTTCTAGACATCAATTTTATCTATCAGACTTGATTTTTACCATATTGCCACTAATGCTTAGATTCAGGAGGTCCAATTTTTGCTAACCAGAGTTACGCGAGTCTGATGAACCACAATACCAATGTGTGGATTTGGGCCAAAATACCCATGTTGGCTGAGCAGTGTACTCTCTTCCCCAGTGGAAATTAAGTTATTCTCAAGGGTGCCAGATGAGCATTGTGTCAGAGCAAAGGAAATAACATTACGTAACCCTTTTTAGCATAGAGATGTAGCAACCAAGTTCATGGGAATAGGGCACTGACTACCCTCTTTAGAGTCCAGTGCACACCAGTTTCTCTAAATGAGTTTTAATATAATTGGGTAGGTTACAATTACTTCAGTATTATCCAGGTTTCTCAGCTTTCTTTTATTAGCATGTGTTGCTCTCTATCTACAGTCCAGGTCATGTTACTTTTTAATTTCAGTCTCATAGTGGCCTTTTTCTTGTCTCCAAATATGAATACCAATATATACTAATTAAATTGGGACTTGAAAGCTGTTAAGTTTTCGCAGCTTCACAAGGCAGATCCCTTAGCCCTGCCTGCATTTTGGCTTGAGCTGAGATCAGAACTAAGAGCCATGATTAGGGATGGAAGTATCTTAATTGTGTGCATGTCTTTGGTAAACTCTTGGGTTCTTGATTCTCAGGCAGATTTCGGGCAGACAACTTGAACAAGCTGAAGAACCTGTGCAGCAAGACAATCGGAGAGAAAATGAAGGTAAGAATTTGGTAAGAAAGCTTGAGCAGAGGTATTTGATCATGTCCTTAACTAATATGCACATAATTTCTAATTCTGTAAGATACTGAATTTCTTACCAAAGAGAGAAAATTATTAAAAGAAGACGGAAAGAGAACCAAGAGGTGCTTTCAGAGTCTACCTTCTGTCCTTCAGATAAAATTGTTCCCACACTAGTTGTTTACTGTCTATTCTGTTCTTGTTATAGGAATATAGGTTCCACTAGTAATTCGATTATTTCCTGCACTCTACACGTGGTGCCTAAGGACAGCTTCCCTTAGGGCACACTTCAGACTTTTTATCCCACTGTACCTGCCTTATCCTCCTATTGGCACTGTGACTTTAGGCAAGTTAACTTCTGAGGCTCAGTCTTCTCATCTATAAAATGATAATATTAAAATTCACCTAACCCCCCCAGAAAAATAAAACCCATGCTATAGGGTCAATTCCAGTTCCAACTCATGGCCACCCCATGGTGCTCACCTATAGTATTACCAAAACCAAATTCAATGCCCTGGAGTCAGATCCAACTCATAATGACCCCTCATTGGGTTTCCGAGGTGGTATCACTGCGGAAGGTAGATTACCTAGTCTCCCTTCCGAGGAGTGGCTGGTGGGTTTAAACTGCCAGCCTGGTTAGCAATCATATGCCTTAGGCACTACGCCACCAGAGCTCCCCACCTACAGTACAGAATACAGTATAGAATAAAAAATAAATAAATAAAAACCCATGCCATCCAACTCTGACTCATAGCGACCCTATAGGACAGAGTAGAACTGCCCCATATGGTTTCCAAGGCTGTAAACCTTTACAGAAGTAGACTGCCTTATCTTTCTCCTACGTAATGGCTGGTGGGTTCGAACACTGATCTTTCAGTTAGCAGCCAAGTGCTTAATCACTGCACCACCAAAGCCCCCAGCACAGTATAGTATAGTGAGAACTAAATTTTAAAAATGTAGAGAACTGGGCATAATGCCTAGAACACTGTAGTTACTCAGCAATTGTGTGTGACAGTGGATGGCAAGCATTCTTGGCCTTTATCCATAAATCCTTCTGATGCCCGAGGAATGTTAGATTTCAGCTCAACTTTTGCTTTGCTATCCAAAATAGTTCATGTGTTTCATCTTTCTTCAAGAGACCTTTTTAGCCCTTTGGTCACTTTTTAAGGGTATATTTAATGTACTGTGCAATCTGTATAATTTTTAAGTTGTAAAGCTTGAAAATAAACAAAAAAAGTCATCAAATTCTAGAAGCTGAACCTGTGAAGAACGTAACAAAAAAGATTACCTTGGGATTTTAGCACCTTTCACCTCACTTCTGCATTCTGCTCTGACAGTCTGCATCCTGTTAACTATATTTTGGTCCACTTTCAGCTTGTGACTTAGTGACAATTGTATACTTTTCTTCCAATAGGACTCCTGATGGTTAACCATTTGCATGTCTGAGGTCCCAGAATTAATGTTAATTGTCGTGGTACCTCTGCCTGTGTGTTCTTTGTAGCATGTATATAGATTGCCTATCTTTTTGTAGCAAGAAGATGAGAAGGAGTGTGTAATACTCTTAGATCCAACTTTACTGCTAACCCTTCGGGGAATGTTCTCTCTTGCTCTCTATTGAAATAGTTGTAATAGTGCTTTAATTTGCATAGCACTTTCAAGTATTCAAAACTCTTTCATATACATCTTATTTTGATTTTGATCTTTACTTCAAACCTGGTGTATAGGTAGTACATTTATCAGGTAACAGAACAGATTTAGGAAAATTCAAGGACTTGCCTAGAATCATCCCACATGGAGTAGCTGCAGAGGGGGACTGTCACACAAAGAAGACTCTTAGATACCTTGCTATCATACGCCCACTCTGCCTATCGTGTCGTTCCCAAAATCTTGAGATTTAGGCTGTTCATTTCTACCTCAGAATATTGGTCTATGCTTGTTCCTGTTGAGACACACTCTGATATTTTCAGACTTTTCCAACTTTTTTAGATGATTTTGCTCTAAGTCGCTGCAGGATATGAGTGGAGTTGGGGTTAGGATCTTGATTTCTCACTTTGGTCCATGAGAATGTATAATGAAGTCTAAAAGATTTTGGTGCTTAACCCTTATGGAAAGATTTAGTCTTTTCTTATGACTCAGTTTTGTACAGTAGCATGTGAAGTTGTATAAACATAATTGCCTATTATATGTGCAGAATTTAAAAAAAACCTTTAGGATGTTGAACATGATTTCTACACATCATTTTTATTTGTAATTACAAAGCAGACCCTAAACTTTCTCAAATTGTTTTATACGTGTTTTGCTGAAGCCATGTATCTTTTTGATTTAAACATTTGACTCTTAAAATTATCTTCCCCATTGTCGTTGTTTAGTTTTCATCTAGTTGATTCCGACTCATGGTGACCTCGTGTGCAGAGTAGAACTGTGCTCCATAGATTGCCAGACCATCTCGTGAGGCGTTTCGGGGTGGCTTTGAACCACCAACCTTTTGGCTAGTAATCCACACTCAACCCTTTGCACCACCCAGGAACTCCTGGTTGACTAGTCTTTATTTCACAAAGCCAACGGATTTTTCAATTTACTGTAATTCAGCAGAGAGCTCTGGTGGCGTAGTGCCTAAGGCATTTGACTGCTAACCAGAGGCTGGCAGTTCAAACCCACCAGCCACTCCCCGGAAGGAAGGTTGGACACTCTACTTCTGTAGTGATACCGCCTTGGAAACACAAGGAGAGGTTGCTATGAGTTGGATCCAACTTGATGGCAGTACCTATAATTCAGCAAATATTCGCTACAATGGGCCTGTAGCAGTGATTTTCAAGTTTATTAGTCACTGACCCCTGTGTTGAAACCTTTAATGCAAAGTCATAGCAAGAGCATAAACACAACAAAAGCAAAGTTGATGTGCTTGAAGGACAGCTCTACCTGTAAAGGGCACCCTCCTCTCAGGAAAATCAGAGCACAGTTTGAAACACCTGCAGCAAGGAAATATAAAATAAGCACTTAACCATTTGCCCCACTCAGGGACTCTGTCTAATCCATGCCTCTGTGCAAGGATTAGAAGTGATGATTTGTCAAAATCTCAAAAAGGAGGAAGAGGAGAGAAACTGAATCAAAAACAGTTCTAGCCCTGGTTATATACCCCTTTCATTGTGCTGAGATGGAGTCCCTTGGTGGTGCAAACAGTTAACATGCTCACTGCTAACCAAGAGTTGGAAGCTCTGGTGACGTAGTGCCTAAGGCACTTGACTCCTAACCAGAAGCTGGCGGTTCAAACCCACCAGCCACTCCTCAGGAGGAAGACTGGACAATCTACTTCCATAGTGATACTGCCTCGGAAACCCAAGGAGGGGTCGCTATGAGTTGGATTTGACTCGACAGCAGTGAGGGAGGGTCAGGTCCACCCAGATGTACCTCAGAAGAAAGGCCTGGTGATCTGCTTCCAAAAACATCAGCCATTGAAAACCCTATGGAGGACAGGTCTACTCTGAAACACATGGGGTCACCATGAGTCAGAATCAACTCCACAGCAGCTGGTAACTAGTCTGCCAAGTTGTGTGGCTTGCTCCAAACTTAGTAACAGATTCTGTGAGTTTTTGTCTGAGAAGTTTTGTTTTCCTTGGCTCCTTCATTCTCCATCACCCAATGTCTTTCTTTCCCTTAGCCTCAGTGGCGAGATTTTTCTCAGCAGATAGATAAGGGCTCGCACCCAGGCATTGCCTCTGCTCATGCTCCTGCGCAGTACACTACCTCTCCAGCAACTTACAGTTCATGAGCATTTTCAAACATATTCTCTGATGATGTCCATGACTGTTCTATGTCCAGGGCAAAATATTCTTCTTCTCGTGGTCCTCATGATGCTAATTCTCCAACCCCAACAGGTGAATTGATTTGCCCAAGATTAAAACAACAAAAAACTAGCAAATGGCAGAACAGGACCTTAAAACTTAGGCTTCTGACTAATTTTTCTTCCATGTGCTCCATCTTTAGAGAAAGTTATATATAGAAAGTTAAGTGATTAGTTTATATGCTATGTTAATTTGGTGTGCACTGATACAACTATATCAGAGATTTTATTTTATTTCATTGTGTTGCATTTTTCCTTCCTGCAGAAAAAGGAGCCAGTTGGAGATGATGAGTCCATTCCAGAGAATGTCCTAAACCTCGATGACCTTGCAGCAGATGCTTTAACTGTAAGCTGTCATCCTTTTTTGGGGTATGCACATGGATAGGCTGGATTTTCTGTTCTTTCATCTTAACTATTTCATACAACACTGTGGCATCCTCAGATTTCTGCAGCTTAGAATTGTCCCCACTAACTCTTGTTATACTCTCTACTTGAGTACTTATGAGACAGTAGAAAAGTGGAAAAGCCAAGGATAGGAAGAATAGGAAAAAAAGGAACTGAATTCTGCTCGGCTTATGTTGTCATTTTTGTTAGTTGCTGTCAATTCTGACTCATGGTGACTCCATGTGTGCAGAGTAGAACTGCTCCAAAGAGTTTTTAATGCTGTGACCTTTCAGAAGCAAATCACCAGGCAAGTCTTCCAAGGCACCTCTGGATGGATTCAAACCACCCACCTTTTGGCTAGTAATCCTGCACTTACCCGTTTATCCCACTACATTTTCAGAGCCAAAGAATTTCAATCACTAGGACTCATCAAATATTCACTACAGCGGGCCTACAGCAGTGATTTTCAAGATTTTTAGTCACAGACCCCAATGTTGAAAGCTTTAATACAAAATCATAGCAAGAGCATAAACACAGCAAAAGCAAAGTTGATGTGCTTGAAGGACAGCTCTACCTGTAAAGGGCACCCTCCCCTCGGGAAAATCAGAGCACAGTTTGAAACACCTGCAGTAAGAATATAAAATAAGACTAAGACAAAGTCTCTTGCTCTTAATAAACTTATTATCTTTCTAGGAAACCAGTTATCATGGAGTCAGTTCTAATTCATGGCAATCCTGTGTGTGTCACAGTAGGACTGTACTCCATAGGGTTTTCGGTGACTGATATTTTTGGAAGTGGACGACCAGGCCTTTCTTCCAAAGTGCCTCTGGGTGGACTCCCAACCTTTTGGTTAGCAGCCAAGCATATTAGCCATTTGTACCACCCAGAAACACCGAATCTTCTAGAGAACAGTTAAATGTAGTCCAATAGAGTGCTGAATTGGCTCAGCCAGAAAAATCAGGAAGTACAAATTACGGGAAAGTTCTCCTAAAAGAGCTACGTTGTTATTGTTGTTGTTGTGTGCCGGCGAGTTGGACCCGACTCATAGCGACCCCTCCTTGGGTTTCTGAAGTAGTATCACTACGGAAGTAGATTGCCCAACCTTCCTTCCGAGGAGTGGAAAGAAAGAACCAAACTCCTGGTATACAGGAAAAAACAAGAGTAAACCAAAATTTATCTGTCTTAGGCACCTCAAAGGAAAGTGCCAATTTGTAGGACAAGACCATCTATATCCCTGTATAAAATAAATCTCAGATTGTTTGAAAGTCTTTTTCAGTTTTCAACATCCTACCAAAAGGGGTTGTCATTTGAGCATGATGGGGCAGCAGAATCATATTCCTACTCTGTCCTCGACTGTGTCCCGAGTATGAGCCTGGCCTTTTGCTCTACAGAACCTGAAAGTCTCACAAATCAAAAAAGTCCGACTCCTTATCGATGAAGCCATTCTGAAGTGTGACGCTGAGCGGATCAAGCTGGAAGCAGAGAGGTTTGAGAACCTCCGCGAGATCGGGAACCTTCTGCACCCCTCTGTGCCCATCAGCAACGATGAGGTAGGCTTCCAGGCCACAGCAGGCGGCTGCCTTACTTTTTACTCGGTCTCTGTCCTCTGTTGGGAAGGAGCGGGGGTGGGAGGAGAGCCGTGAAACTCTGCCACTCTGTATAATAGGCCTTGTGTCATAAGCAGGCTCTTTGTATATTCCCTCTGCCCACCAATTGAGACTTGAAGGAGTCAGATCCTTGCCTGATTGGGAAGTAGCAGAGACAGCAGGTAGGAGGAGACTCCTGGCACAGAAATCTCTTCTAAATAGGGCTGCTGTCCTCTACTGCGTGTTGCCCTTGGCAGCAGCTAGTCCTGTGGGAGGGATCTGCTAAATCAACCTAACCCCCTCACCCCCACCCTGCTGAGAAGCTGCAGGTTGAAGGGAAATCTGCATGATAAAAGTTTCCTGCTGAGCAGGAACTTCCCTAGCACAAAGCTGCTCCAAGCCCAGCCTTTGTTCCCTGACACCCCAGCCATGGCACGGCCCATCTGTGCCTCTTTCATTCATTCCCTGGTGAACGTTAAACTTACTGCTGGCTAGGGTGTTCAGGAGGCAGCCTAGCAGAGCAGACTTAGAGGTCAGGGCCCAGAGCCCGCCCCTACTTGGCCCTGGACCAATGAGAGCCAGAAAAGGAAAAAAAAAAAAGCAAAAAACCCTACATTCTCATCAGCACCCCAGGCGATGCCAATTGTCAGGGGAGGGTTGTCCTTGTGCAGGCGTTTTCCAAGAAGGAACTATTTAAAGGGGTAAAACAAAAGAAGAATAAAATACTGTAGAGTACTATAGATCTCTTGGAAAATCATGATTCCAATTTCTAGAATCCATTCTCAGAATTTGTAAATTACTCTCTATTGACCATAAATTCTCCAGCAGATCTCCTTCTCTAGTTTCTGCCTCTAATGACCAGAACTTGGTGTTTGAGTAAAGAGATAGCATCACAAAGCTAGGTTGCTCTTGGGACAGAGTTTGGAAAGATGGACATTGTGAAAATTGCCTGTTTTTTCTCTCCTGGTCTTGTTTCCTTAGGATGCAGACAACAAAGTAGAGAGGATTTGGGGTGATTGTACTGTCAGGAAGAAGTACTCTCATGTGGACCTAGTGGTGATGGTAGATGGCTTTGAAGGCGAAAAGGGAGCTGTGGTGGCTGGGAGTCGAGGGTATTTCCTGAAGGTAAGAGTTGGGAACCATTGAAGATAGGATTATGAAGGATTTTTTTTAAATATGCAGAAAAACATAACCTACTTAAAGAGGCCAACAGATCTACCGGTTGTCCTGCTTTTCTGCTGCTGACTTACTGGCAGTTAGGTACCCAGTTTTCTTTTTAGCATAAGAGAGTGCCACTAAGTGATCCTACATGGTGAAATTTACCAATTCAGTCAACTCAATACATACTGACTCTCCAGTCTGTGGCAGTCCTTATGCTAGGCACTTGAATCCAAGTCGCTGCCTTTCCAGAGCTCAGTGTAATTAGCCAGTGAGACAAGTAATAAAGAATCAAAATCCACTGTGGTAAGTACTATGGCATAAGGAGGTCCAGAGTACTATGAGAACAGGTAGATAGAGGCAGTAAACCCAGATTAGCTACTACAGAGAGAGGATGAATTCAGGAAAGCTTCCAGAAAGAGATGGTAAAATAATAATTGTGAAAATACAGTATAGATAGATTTATAAATCCTTTATACATATACAAATGAACCCAGTGTTTTAAGAATTAGTACAAGACAAACTCCTACATACCTTACTTTGGTATCTTAAAGGAAATTCTCTTTACGATGTGTCTGAATGATATGCAGGATATCTGTGTTAAGAAAAAAAATCTCAAGTTAATTGTTGCAAGGAACTCCAGGGTCTTTGTTGGCTTCTGTGCCCTTGGTAGTCAGTCATATTCTATTGCTCCAGTGGCCTCTGAGTGTACATTCTGGCAGATGAAAATGATGGCAACAGAACACACTCACACAGTTCTATGTCTCTGCTCCTTCAGGGGGTCCTAGTGTTCCTTGAACAGGCACTCATCCAATATGCCCTTCGTACCTTGGGAAGTCGGGGCTACACTCCCATCTATACTCCCTTTTTCATGAGGAAGGAGGTCATGCAGGAAGTGGCACAACTCAGTCAGTTTGATGAAGAACTTTATAAGGTGAGTAGCCTGGGCCCATGTGGCAGATTGACTTCTTCAGTTATGAATTTAGAGCAGCACTGTCCAACAGAACTCTGCATGATGATGGAAATGTTCTATATCTGTGGCTGTTGAGCACTTAAAATGTGGCCAGTGCAACTGAGAACTAAATTTTTCATTTTGTTTAATTTTAAATAGTCACATGTGGCTAGTGGCTACCGTATTGAACACAGATAAAGAGCCTACTTATCACTTCCCAGGTAATCTGTATGATTTATCTGGACCATACTTTAACAAGATGTGCTAAAAAAAAGAAGAAGAAGAAGAAGAAGCTTATTTATTAGGTGCTGAACAAAAATTATAGAAGTAGCACTAGGTCATCTCTTCCTAGCCCTGACTCGATTGGAAACTTCCATAGGGCAAGACATACTTTCCTTGGCTTATAGTTTTTGTGCTCCTTCTCAACCATAGACCATGTCATGGAAAGCCAGAGGGCTCAAGTTGAGGTTCCAAATGTCATTCTGATTAGCTGGCTTTAACACCAACTGTGGCAGCCCCAGTCTGTGTCCAGAACTCAGAATTTTTAGAGTTTCTTTGCTAACAGCTGTCCATCACAGCTCAGTCCCCTTCTCCTTCAAGACTGTCTATCAGAAGTGGCGGACTTTATTCTTATGGGCTTGTTTCCTCCCAAGAGCCACATGGAGTAAGAGTTAGACAGCTGTTCTTGGGCTCATCTGATTTATGTAGGGAGATAAGTTTAATAAGTAAAGCCTTCTTCCCACTAGGTACTGTTGATGAGTTCAAAATTATTTTTCTTATTCAAGATGCATTGGGAAACAAAATGCTCTCTCTCTAAACCCTAAATCTTAGAATAGCCTTGGTATCCTCCCTCTTTCCTTCTTGTAATAAGGGGAGAAAGATGTCCACTATGAACTGAAACCTGTTACTGTCTTCTCTATTTTTCTAATCTCAGCCTCCAAGGTTGAAAGCTAACAACTTTAAGAAGTATCCAGTGTGGGCAATACTAGGAAGAAAAGTATGGAGGACTGAGAGAAATACTAAGTAACTGGCGTTACCTGTGTTTCCTGTTTCCTCCAACTCTTATCCACATGCTTCTTGGATTTGCAAAGAAAATCACAGGCCTTAATAGTGAAGAGCTGTGGCTGGCATTCCTGGCCTAATATGTTGTTGTCAAATGCTGTCAGGTCCCTTCTGACCCATAGTGGTCCCATGTGACAAGAGTATAACTGCCCTATAGGGTGTTCTAGGCTGTGATCTTTACAGGAGCTGATCACCAGGTTATTCTCTCAAGGAGCTACTGGGTAAGTTTGAACCACCAACCTTTGGGTTGGCAGCCAAGCATTTATGCCCCACCAGTGCTCCTTCTTGCCTAATAGAGCCCTTAGTTTATTCATTCTCTGGAGCAGCACTAGCCAATAGAACTTTCTACAGCGATGGAAATTTTCCATATCTGTGTTGTCTAGTACAGTAGCCACCAGCCACAGGTGGCTGTTGAACACTTGAAATGTGCTTAGTGCAACTAAAGAACTAAATTTTTTATTTTATTTGCTTTTAATTAACTTAAGGAGCTCTGGTGGTATAGTGCTTAAGGCATTTGGCTGTTAGCCAAGAAGTTCAGCAGTTCAAACCCACCAGCTGCTCTGCAGAAGAAAGATGAGGCAGTCTGCTTCGGTAAAGATTTACAACCTTGGAAACCCAGTGAGGGTCTCTTATGAGTCGTAATCAACTTAGTGGCGGTAAATTTGGTTTTTTGGTTTAATTAACATAAATAGCCATATGTGGCCAGTGGCTACTGTATTAGACTGCACAGTTCTAGAGTCTGTGTGTTGTATGTGAATAGCCTGACAAGAGGCTAAATTGTCCCTATCAGGTAGCAAAGTAGCTTTCCAGGGCCCCAAACTCTGACCCAGAGAAAGTTTCCTCCCCTACTTATTATTTATTTAAAGTAATGTAACAACACAGGAAATTTGGAAATGTGTTATCCTATCATAACAGTTGTCATTTTTTAATACTCTTTTTGGGACTTTTTTTCACACATATATCCTTTTCATGTACTTATAATCACAATGTAGATACAGTCATAGACAGCCTTTTTACTTAGCTATATGGAAAGCATTTTTCTGTGTAACTACATGGTCTTCATTGTCATCATTTTTAATGAGTATAAGACCATCAACTCTTCCTGTTTTGAGTATTTTAAAACTTTCCTTTTTTGCGATAAATAAATGCTGCAATGAATTTTTTTCTGTACTTTTGAAAAAGACAAATTGCATTATTTTCTTCAGCTAAACACCAAAGTAGGGAGCTCTGGTGGTGTAGCGTCTAAGGCATTTGACTGCTAACCAGAAGGCTGGTGGTTCAAACCTACCAGCCGTTCTTCGGAAGGAAGATTGGGCAATCTACTTTCATAGTGTTACTGCCTCGGAAACCCAAGGAGCTATGAGTCAGATCTGACTCAATAGCAGTGAGTTTGGTAAACACCACTGTACATTTTAAGCATTTTAACCACTACACTAGCCTATAAGTACTAAGAAAACAGGAACGGTATCTCTTTTTGTCCAGCATTGGCAAAAAGACTTGGTACCTAGTAAGTGTTTCATAAACATCTGTGAGTGGACTTATTTTTATTGCTACCAGCACATATTTCATGGCATACTTGCTAGCATTGGTCATAATACGTTATTTTTTTAAATGTTTCATTTATTCCATAAGTGAAAAACACTGTCTCCATTTAATCTGCATTTCTTTGATCTCTATCAGGGACCCTATGTTGGGCTGACTCCTTCCCTCCTTGTCTTTTATTGTCCCTTCCTCACTTCCAGACAAAGATTAAAGAAAATTCTTTCTGACCCATCACTTGTACTTCTGGGCCTTCTTGTTTTCCCTGAGCACTCTCTCTTCCCTGGCTCCTGACTTGGTAATGGTCCGTCCTCCTACAGGTGATTGGCAAAGGCAGTGAGAAGTCTGATGACAACTCTTATGATGAGAAATACCTGATTGCCACCTCAGAGCAGCCCATTGCTGCCCTCCACAGGGATGAGTGGCTGCGTCCAGAGGATCTGCCCATCAAGTATGCTGGCCTGTCCACCTGCTTTCGCCAGGAGGTGGGCTCCCATGGCCGTGACACCCGAGGCATCTTTCGAGTCCATCAATTTGAGAAGGTGAGTAGATAGGGTAAGCAGGAGGTCCCTTCTATGTAGCTGTCAGCGTGGTTAGGGGAAGGGCTGATCTGTGTTGCTTAGGCCCCCCTAGCTTCAGCACTTCCTCTTGTTGCCTGCCTGCGTCTATTTCCAGAGAAAGCCTGAGAAGCACATGATGAAGTGGCTGGGAGCACATACTCACAGAACCAAGCTGTGTGATTTCAAATGTCAGCTCTACCACTTACCAGCTGTGTGACCTTGAACAAGCTGTTTAACCTCTCTGTGCTCAGTTTCTGACTCTCTAGAATGAGGATAATAATAATACCTGTCCTCCTAGGCCTACTATAAAGATTAAACCAATTAATATGTCTTAAACACTTAGAACAATAGCTGGACATATGAGGTAAGCTCCCTATATGATGTTATCGTTGCAATGGTTGCAGTACCAGTCCAGAGCAGCAGTGATATCTCTTGCTGAGGGCCCCAACCTTGCTTGCCTCCCAGTGGAATAGTGGAATAGGTTTTCATTACAAGAATATCTGCCACCCTTCATCCTGTACTGTGCCACTATCTCCTTGGGTCTCTTTCTGCAGATTGAACAGTTTGTCTACTCATCACCACATGACAACAAGTCCTGGGAGATGTTTGACGAAATGATTACCACTGCAGAGGAGTTCTACCAGTCTTTGGGGATTCCTTACCACATTGTGAATATTGTCTCAGGTAGGAGACCCAACAGCTTCCCTGCTTCCCTCTCCTGCATCCCCCAAACACCATCCTCACCGGCCGAGCAGCCACACAAAGAAATAGCTCACAATCCAACTAATCACCCACATTAATTAAAATATCGCACTCTTCTCACTTGAGAGTGTTTGGTTATAAGAATATCTGGGTGTGATTTCACTTCTGGGGATAGAATATAAATTAATGCTTCAAGCTTGCTAAGGGTTAGCCTTCTGAAAAACCATCCCTCCTTCATGAATCCTAGGGGGTTTTCCTTACAGGATCTTTGAATCATGCTGCCAGTAAGAAGCTCGACCTGGAGGCCTGGTTTCCAGGCTCTGGAGCCTTCCGAGAGTTGGTCTCCTGTTCTAACTGCACAGACTATCAGGCTCGCCGGCTCCGAATCCGATATGGGCAGACCAAGAAGATGATGGACAAGGTAGAGGGCCCCCAAGGCAGTGGGAAGCAGGGCCTTTCGATTAGGATAGGTCCATGTGATTTCCGCAAGAGAAGCCCCCAGCACCATGGGAAAACCAGAGCTGCTCAATGTAGGTCAAAGACCGGAACCCAAAAATGACATCTACTGAGTCAGGACTGGGTTCTTTCAGACAGAGACCTGAAGCTAGCTAGCTCTATTCTACAAGGTAATTCCAGTTTTCTCTTTTGGGCTTTGTTTTCCTTAGTTCACAGAAAGAATAATCCTCATTTACTGACATAGAATGAATTGGAGACAGTGTCTTCTCTCTTCTTACCCAAGAAGGCGCATGAGCCTATAAACTTACCTCCTCTAATCCAGTTTTCAGGACCTAATCTTTTCTAAGTCAAGGACTTTTCAAGGGGTTAAAAGGAGGAGCCACAATGTCAGTGTTTCCTTTCCTTCAAAGAGACCATTGCCTAATTGGACCCAGCTCTCCTCCCAATCCTGGAACATACCACTTCTCACTCAGTGGAAACATGGGGAATCTTCCTGGAGTTACCTAATAGGCAGTAGATGGCAAACAGAATTCATGTTGAGAAAAGAAGTGATAATGAGTAGAACTCATCATTGTGGTTTGGATTGTTATATTTCTGGCTCTGTGTAGATGGTCACTGGTCATCAGTAAGACCAGCTAGGAGTTGTGTTTAAACTGCTCCCCTGGGGCCCTTCTCTTCCCAGGTGGAGTTTGTTCACATGCTCAATGCTACAATGTGTGCCACTACTCGCACCATCTGTGCCATCCTGGAGAACTACCAGACAGAGAAGGGCATTGCTGTGCCTGAGAAACTGAAGGAGTTCATGCCACCAGGTTAGACTCCCAGCCCAGCTTACCTTCCTCCTGTCTTTCAGCTTCACACTGTTCCAAATAACCAAAAAAAACAAACTCACATAGCGACCCTTCCTCAGGTTTCCAAGGCGGTATCTCTATGGAAGTAGATTGCCCAGTGTTCCTTCCAAGGAGTAACTGGTGGGTTTGAACTGCCAGCCTTCTGGTTAGCAGTCAGATGCCTTAAGTACTATGCCACCAGAGCTCCTACTGTTCTGAATAGCTGGTGACTTTCAGAAAACCCAAGGAGCTCTGGTACCACAGTGGCTGAGGCATCTGACTGCTAACCAGAAGGTTGGCAGTTGAAACCCACCAGCCACCCTGCAGAAGCAAGACTGGGCAGTCTACCTCCATAAAGATTTACCACCTCAGAAACCCAGTGGGGGTCTCTGAGTCGGATTTGGTTGTTTTTTTTTTGGGGGGGGGGTTCAGGTAGCCAGTACAGGTGTGATTATTAAATGCAGCTGGAATTCAGAGTAGGGATGAAAAGGATAAATAAAACTAGTGGCCACCGTGCGTGCCCCCTTGTTCAAAGAGATCCTAGTCTTATTACACCCCCCTCAGAAGTCCTTGGGCTCTGACTCCCTGAGAAACAGTAGGTCATTTGGTTGGCTCTTCCCTCCCAGGTCTCCAGGAACTAATCCCTTTTGTGAAGCCTGCACCCATTGACCAGGAGCCATCAAAGAAGCAAAAGAAGCAGCATGAAGGCAGCAAAAAGAAATCGGCAGCAGGAGATGTCGCCCTGGAAGGCCAACTACAGAACATGGGGGTCACCGATGCCTGAACATTCCTTCCGCCCGGTTCTCCAGGCTTTCATTTCTGTCATCTGAGATCTCAGAGCCTACCCAAGGGCAGGGAAGCCCAGCACGCACTCATTACCCTGCCCCATCTGACTGCATAGCTAAGGGGAACAGTGTGGCGTACAGCGCAGGTGTTCCCATCTGTTCATGTGGGCATAGGATTTAATCACTGATGACTGATGAAGCCATGTAATAAAGATCTCTGGGGAAGGTGCCGTACCCTTCCTCAGTCTTCTTCCTGGGGCTTTAACCCTGGCTCTGACAAGTCTCCCCGGGACCTTACTGATTTCTGCTTCGCCTTCCAAATAAGCCTCTTCTGTTTAGCAAGTCAGAGAGTCTTTGAGAAGGTAGGTGAAAGCAGAGGATTTAGTAAAGGCTAAGCGGGGGAGTGAACACCTCAAGTATTACATTCACAGGCTTGCAGGACAAGGACCAGCATCTCCATTACAAATTTGCTCCTACTGAAAAGCAGTGAGGTGGGACATGTTGTGTTGTGTGCTGTCAGGTCCATTCCGACTCAGTTACCCTTCCCTGTTGGACTGTGGGACAGAATACAACTGCACCATATGGTTTCCTAGGTTGTGATCTTTATGGGAGCAGATCACCAGGTCTTTTCTCCTGCTAAGCAGCTGGTGGGTTCAAATTGCCGGCTTCTTACATAGCAGCTAAGCTTCTAACCATTGCACCAACAGCACTCCTAGGACTAGCTTAGTGACTGGAATTGATGTGAAAAGCCTCATAGGACTTCTGTTGACTAGGAAGGGCTCCAAGGCTAGGCAGGGAGCCTGTGAGGCCTCAGAGGAGATGAGACTGTATTCAATTCAGAAGTGCTGTAGACTCGAGCAGGGGTCAGGACCTCATTAACAGTTACTTCTCTTTCCAGTCCTCCCAAATTGGGGACACCAACTGCATGGCAGCTTGTGGTGCAACTCCAAAGGCTATTGTTTATGGCCATTGATACAGGTAGTAGATAGAAGCAAAATGATAGCCAAAAATAATAGATTTTCACAGGAGATGAAAACCTAAGGAAGAGAAATGTCATTTAAATGTCCCATCTTGAATTTTTTCCTCAGAATGAGAGTATGAAGATCAATAAATGATCTGTAAAACCTAAATAAACGATCTAGAAACAACCAACCACAAAACTCCAAAGGCTGGATATCACCAGAAGGGCCGGGAGAGGAGAGGGCTGGCTCCTTCTCTGGAGCAATGATTGCCCTCATAGCTAGTTGGCCCTTTCTCTGGGGAGAGTGATGTTTAGACTCTTTATTTACCAGAAGCCTTTCATCCTACAATCTGCAAACACTTTAATAACACCTTACAGTTAGTTTAGTGCTTCTCTCCTAGGAGCCTAAAATACTTCCTGTAGATGAGCTCTTTTATCTTTGTGACAGTCCCAGAAGGTAGGGTGGGGACATGATTATACTGCTCCATCATTTGGAAGGCAGAAGTACAAGGTGGAGAAGGGAAATGATGCAGCTGGGCCAGGTGCGGTCTGGAGGCTGAACTGGTCCGGCACTCAGGAGCCTCTGTTTCATCTCAGCTCTTGTCCCCAGCACCAGCTTCTTCCCTGGGCCTGTGTGGCTGGCACTGAGGAAAGAGGCCATGGGTTGGTTTGCTAGTGGGAGTTGGGGCTGATCTATTAACCTTGCTGGAACCTCTTGTCACAACTGGCCACCTGAAAGGGTAACCAGAGTGGATGTCTTGCCTTGTCTGGCTATGCCACCATAGGGCCCAGAGACTAGTTCAGCCAGCCTGCCTTCACTATAGTCCATTGCTCTCGGCTCTGGGTAGAAAGCCAAAGCAAGAGGGTAAAAGAGCAAGCTGTTCCCATTTGTAATTCATAAGGGCCAGATATGCATATCCCTGTAAACTCAACTATTTGGTTTGAAGAAAGGCAGCTTACATAGAGGAGACTGTTTTTGTCTGCTTGGTTTTGAAAACTCATTGCGCGTTGGGGTTAGAAACTTTCAGATAGCCCTGACACGCCCATGTCTCCCTGAGCTCTAGTCTCAGAAGTCACTATGCCTTGGTTCCCAGTGCTATGGCCCTCCTGCCACCAGGAGGCACCACTTTTCTCTTTGGCCCTAAAAGCAGTGTGAGAGGGCAGAAGCTGGGGCTGTGAGCCCCTGGGGGCCTAGGCCTAGCTCTTGCCTCCCCCGAACTGGCTGACTTACTCTCTTCTCACCCGATGAATTTTCTGAGCTGCTGCCCCAGAGCCCAGACCCTGTACTGCTTTACTCCTGCCCTCTGCTGCTGGCAGCCCAGTTCCCTACGCCAACCTTCCCCTACCTGCCCTGCGGCTGGGGTAAATGTGTACGCTGGCCAGGGAGTCTGATTATAGGAAAGGAATGAGTGGAGGCACAGAAATAGGCCAGCAAAAGGTGCCAGCTGGACAACTGTCTGTCAGCAGAAAGTCTTTACACCCCTTTCTCCCTGGAGCCAGAGAAGAGAAAAGCAGCAGTCAGTCAGTAGTGAAAGAAAGGATGACCTTGTGTCTGAGGTCCCTCCCTACAGGTCATACACAAGAACACACAGGCAGACAGGCACCAACTCATTTTACTGAGTGCTTACTCTGTGCTGGACAATTAGGAGCAAAGGTCTCAGGGGGAGTGGGACAGTCTTTGCTCTCAAAGAAGTCTGTCTTTTGGGAAAGGGGTGGCTTGCCTTTCTCTGGAGTAAACTGAAAACCAGACTCCTTCCCTTCCTGGAGCAATGGCATGGGGCTGATGCAAGCCTTGATGAGGATGGGCTGACTGGAGGCTGAGCCTTGGAAATGGCCCAGGTGCCTTGACTCCACCCTAGCAGTTGCCTCCACAACCCACAGTTGATGCCCTCATCCCTGGCACCTTGACCTGCCCCATCTCCAACCTCAACTACCCAGCTTACCTCAGTTAGCAAACAACCTCCACAGTGCGGTGGAGTGAGTCAGAGCCTGGATCCCTCACCAGCCCTTGGTTCCCACACCCAGGAATTCAGGACCCAAGATGCAGGTCTGGGTGCTTCAGAAGAGAGTGAGGTGACACTAGGACACAGTGTCTGGCCTCTCTACCAAAAGATGGAGACAACTGGATGACAAGCTTCCAGAGAAACATTCTAAAGAGCCAAGGAAGCTATGTGGGGACCCACTGTAAGACCAAAGAGGCCTGTGGTTATCAGTTAACGGCCGTGAAGAAGCCAAATGCTCCCCTGTCCGAAACCTCACTCAAGAACTCACACTCTGCATCTTGTCCTGCTTTTCCTTCCCTGAAGCTTTTCTGGATTACCCTGGATCCTGAGGAGGTCTCTCACACTCCCACCAGGCCAGGACAGCCCTGGCTGCAGTCCCAGGATGAGTCTCATAGGGCTGGGATGGGCCCCAGAGTAATGTGCTGCGTGTCAGAGCCTGTGCCAGATGAGGGGCCTGCTCCACTCCCCAAGCCACCTCCTAGCATGGGGTTCCCCAAAAGCTCCTCCCAGGTACACACAAAAGGGGGGAGCATCCCTGCAGCCATAGCCAGCCAGGTCCTGGTGCAGCTGACACCACCACCTCTGACATTGCCCTTTTAAGAGGTGCCCCCCCATGGGGGCGGGAGTGCTGCAGGTAGGTTCCTGTAGCAGAAACCCAGAAATGTGCAGTTTCCCTATGACCAGGAAGGAAAGGAGACTTGGACAACAACCTTTCCAGTTCTCAGTCTCCAGGCCCCAAGACCTGAGGGGCAGAGGTATGGGGCCCAGGGATCTTAGATTCTGAGATAGCTCCTTTTTCTGGAGGGGAAGTTCCTCTCTTTAGCTGTTCTGATTGGCTAGCTCACAGGCTCTGCATTTTGGAGAGCAGGTCCACGTCCCTCCATAGGACTGCAGGCTCCCCTCTCGCTGCACGAACCTGCTGTCAAGAAATGGCCTGGGAAATCATTTTCATTGAGGTGTAAATTGCTGCTAGATGGTGTGACCCCTCTGGAGGACTTGCTTTAGAAACCCTGCAGAAACAAAAGAATGAAGCTCCCAAATAGAATAACGTTCATCTTTTCTCCCTTCCATCTTGTCTCAGACTAAAAATTGTTTTTTTAAAAAATTTTGTTGTTCTGTTTCCAAAACCACCCCTTGTCTGTTCGTGCCCTGGACCTCACTAACATCTTATATCCTCTGAGTCCTTGTTCCTCAGCCCTCTCAGAACTGCCAGTCATTCCCTCCCTTCTCCTCCCCTCTCTACCATTCCCCTCAGTGTAGCAACATGCTTAGGTTTTCTCCATCCTTAAATAGCCTTCTTGCCATCCTGCCTCTCCCTCGACAAATTATAACCCCATCTGGCTCTTTTCCCTCCAAGATAAACGAACAGTGGACGCTTTGCAGGCTCTGCTACCTTAATGACATTCCTGGCCCTGCTGTTCCTCAAGAGGTGGAATATTCCAAAAGAGTGAACAGTATGTGCAAAGGTCCAGAGGTGGGACAGAAAGAGGGCAGGAAAGCCTGAATGGTGGATGTGCAGAGAATGAGGGAAGAGTTGAATCGAGGCTGGAGAAGTGGGCTGTTGTGGGCAGATAAGGAAATTGTTACAGTTGTTGTAGTTGTTGTTATGTGCCGTTGAGTTGGATCCGACCCTTCCTTGGGTTTCCAAGGCGGTATCACTATGGAAGTAGTTTGCCATCGTTGCAGTTAGCTACCCTAAAGTTGGCTCCATGTCAGCCTCGTGCACAACAAGATCTGTTATAATTCATAGGGTTTTCACTGGCTGATTTTTTGGAAATCGAGCTCCAGGCCTTTCTTCCTAGTCTATCTTAGTCTGGAAGCACCACTGAAACCTGTTCAGCATCATAACAACACACAAGCCTCCAATGATGGATGGTGGCTTTGTAGGAGGAGCACGGCTGGGAATCCAATCTGGGTCCTCCACATGGCAAGACTTCTACCACTAAAGCAACACTGTCCCCCAAGGAGATAGTACCTGACCCTAAATGCTGGTTCCCTAGCGCTCTTGCCTCTCCTTGCCTTTCCTCAGCATGCTCTAATACCTCTACATGCAGGGCTCCCAATCCCTTCTCTCTCATCTGAGCAATTCCAGATCCAACCCCATAATCCTAACACATACCTTTGAGCATCTCCACCAGAATCTCAGACGTGAAAGCTCAAAGTTTCTTTCTACTCCACCTCACCCAAAACACACACTTAAGTCCCATTGAGTTCTTTCATCACTTGAGAATCTGCCCCCTTGGCAGTCTCTTCCTCATCCCCAGCACAGCTCTCCTCACCTCCTGGACTATGATAACCATCTTC